TTCCTCTTCTTCTTCTTCTTCTTCTTCTTCTTCTTCTTCTTCTTCTTCTTCTTCTTCTTCTTCTTCTTCTTCTTCTTCTTCTTCTTCTACATTACGACGAACAGTACTATACTAATGATTTTCATATGATATATTTCATGTTTTTTTATAAGACGGCGAATGGCATTGTACTGATGAATTATTTTTATACGACAGTTTAACTTGACTAAAGAAATATATTTATGTGTCGACTGCATATTCTCTTATATGTTAAAATATACGTTATATGTTATCATCTCGCTTTGTCTGAGGCGATGGCATAGACTTTTTTTATATCAATGTTTTGTGTACTCAATTTAGTATCTTAATGACAGCATATGTATTCACATGATGCAATGAATAATCTATGAGTCAGTTGCATACGTACCCCCCCCCCCACAAACACCCCCATTCTTGCAATACGCTCTTTCTTTCTTTCTTTCTTTTTAACAAGACTGAAATATATGTCATGACGAGCCAAAAATCTTGATTTTTGTACAATTTAACTTAGAAGTAACTGTAAGCATAAGTATCAATTATATGTTTGAACAGAACTAATACGGCCATACACACCCAAATAAACGCACACAAGCACACAAATCCTATACATACAAAAAACTTGTACGTACCTATGTATGATTACATATATGTGTGTGTATATATATGTATACATATATATATATATTTAAAATATATATGTATGTAAGTGGGTGGGTGGGTGTAGATATGCATATATATATATATATATATATATATATATATATATATATATATATATATATATATATATATATACACATACATATATATATATATATACATATATACATACATATATACATATATACATATATACATATATATATATATACATATATATATATATATATATATATATATATATATATATATATATATATATACACATATATATATATATACATATATATATATATATATATATATATATATATATATATATATACATATATATATATATATATATATATATATATATATATATATATATATATATACATATATATAATATACATATATTTATATATTATATATATACAGTTTATAATGCCGACTTGTTAACATACTGTATATGCCTTTAATAAAATGTTTAATGGTTTTCGTTTTTGTTATTTCTTTACACACTTAAGTTGTATTAATATCTTGAACGCGCCAAGTAAGAACGTAATGAAATGATAATATATTGAAATGAGGAATTGCAAAATAAAAAAAAAAGTGGGAGAAAGACAATGTGTGAAGTGGTTCTTGCTCTTATTTGTGAGACAACTATGTGAGGCATGAAAATGTAACAATTTAAGCAGGGACGGAGATAAACACCGAAATTCAAGCTTTGATTTATTGGTGTCTTTTTTTTACGGTCACTGTACTAGTCTGGAGATCTGTCTCCCAAGCGGTTGTCGCAGACTCGGGTGGTTGCGGGGCGACCTCCATTCGGGCGGGAGCCGTGACTTGTGACACCGGCATGAAGGCAGGAGCGTGAAGGGCGAGGAATGCGCCACCTCTCAGACGTCACCTCGCTTACGTCACAAACACTCAAAAACAAAGATCACATTTCACATTTCAATATACTAATATGTTAATTAGTATCACCTATTAATATATTTTCCACCACGACCTTTCTAACCGTTCCGTTTATATAATTATATAAAATGTAAATGAACTAATTGTCTAAGCACTTCTTTGCTCCTCGGCCCAGCCATATGCGCAGTTGCGTATAGTTTCCTCATTTCAGTCTCTTTCGTTTAGTTTCAAAGTTTATTATCTGATTAGTTAACTAAAATAAATGGTTGTTATTACTTTATATTGGAATATGTTTACACATTGATAATGATAGTATTGATGACAAGAATATTACTGATGATAATTATAACAGTAGTAGTAATAATAATGATAATACTAAAAATAAAAATAAGAAGATAGATAATAGTGATAACAAAAATGATTATGATAATAAAATGAAGATCATGTTTAGAATTATGAAAGATAAAAAAATAGTACAAAAGTATAACAAGAATGCCCATAGTAATAAAGCAATGATAGCAAAACGAATGGTAATAATAATAATAATGATAATAACCATAATAATAATGATGATCAAAACAACAGTGATCCTAAAACAATGCTGCTGATGAGGATAATAATGATAACGATAATAACAAAATGATTTATAAGATGATTGCAATAACAAAGTTAATGATAACAATAATAATAATAACAATAACATAATAATCATATTAATACTATTGTTAATAATAATGACAAAAATAATCATGATAACAAAATAAATAAACACACAGCTAATGATATTAATAATAGTACTAATACTAATAATAATAATTCCAAATCTGCTAATAATAATAATTAGAAAATAATAAAAATGATAGCTAATAATGATCACATTTAAAACAAAAAATATAGAACAAAAGTATAGCATGAAAAAATTGACAAACCATTTCCTTCACAAAGAGTTTGCAGCGTCAGTCGGAAAAAATAATGAACAAATACCGGTCATCAATCTCCGTTTCATGATCATAATTGTGAGCAAAGTGCGATCAGACTTTCGTGTAGAAATATCAAAACTATTTTTTCCTGTTCTCTGTGAAAAACATTAATGATTCTTCCCCTTCCCTTCCTCTCTCCTTTTAGCTTCGCTCCTCCTGCTCCTGCTCCTCTTTTCTTCATGCCTATTCTTCCTTCCTTTCAGCTTCTTTCCCCTTCTTCCCAGCACTATTCGGTTCAATAAGTGTGCGTGTGTTTAAAAAGTGATAGAAAGACATACAGATAGATAATTAGATAGATCGACCGTTCGATCGATAGATAGGCAGATATATATATACATGTATATATATACATATATATGTGTTCGTGCGTGTGTGTTTGTGCAGATAGATGAATAAAAAGAGACAAAGCTAAGGCGAGTATTTTTCGCCTACCAATACTTCGCCTTAAATGCTTAACCCGATAAAAAAGACCGATGTTTCGTGATGAACGTCTGTAGTTCTTGTGATTAGAGAAAAAGCTTTAGAATACATTTTCATTTTTATTTTTATGTCTGCTGTGATAAAGGAACCAATTTTAGAAAGAGCTCTGAACTTATTATTTTTTGGTGTTCTCGTTTTAATATCTTTTGCAATTTGTTTTATCCATTTGGTTTGTTGTCTGATGTGGGGCTTTATCTAATCTACGGAAGATACTTATATGCAATGTATGTACAATAATACAACCAACCCTGCGAGAGAGGAAAATCTTTATCTCTGGTCTATTCATAACACAACAAAGCCTTCGGGAACAAATCTAAACTAGATGGATCTCTTGTCATGTTGGAGGAACATGAGCATTTGGAGGCGCAAGTGTTGGCTTTCGCTTATTACAAGGAAAATGGCGATGCAAAACCGAGATATAAAGCCAGCCTTCTGCTTACTGTTACCTCTGTCCCTTGTTTGAGAGAGGGAGAGAGATAGAGAGAAAGAGGAAGGGAAAGAGAAAGAAAGAAAGAGATATTAATAAGAGAGAGAACGAGAGAGAAGGAGGTAATTGGTGACAAGAGCTTCCTCCTGCATGGTACTTGCAATTTCCCTGTGCATGAATTTAGTTCCTCAATTGCTCGTTTCCCACACCAATACCTCGGGCAACACTCTCCGCCCGTGAGTGAGGGCGTCGCATAGTTAGCTTGGTGGGGTGATACTGAGCATGATTAAAATTAGTGGGGGACGAAACGTGTGTGTGTGTGTGCACCGTTTCCGTTTTTCTTCTGCTTTCGTGATAAAAGTGGCATTGGGAATAAAAACTGACACGACAGTTTGACCAAAATATATTCACGTAGACGCTTAAGTATGAATATTTTCTAAAAGTCTTTAATATTTGGCATTACGTCTTGTCTAAAGTTCAACCAACGTACATGTAATCAGTCAATCCAAAAATGAATTTGACTTTTTTCCTAATCAAGATAACTAGGCAAGAAGGTTACTGTAGCATGTGTGGAATAGCGTATTCCAACACTTGACTTTTGCGCAACCGACTGGCGTGTTTACTTAACTAGTCTTCTCAAATTATCTGTTGCGTGCGAGTCTGAGGGGGGGGGGGAGATGCCCTAAATAAAATACGTTAGTATTCTTATTTTAGATTCTTGGATTTCGATCAATGGCCTGAATGATTCAGATATCTATAAGAGATTTTCGATCGTGTTGTAGCTGAATTGATGCTAATCGGAGCAATTAAAACGTCTTTATTATAGTAAATGATACCGGAAAAGATCCAAACACTAAAAATGGCAATGGTGATGGTACTCCCTGTCCGAGGCTAGGCTTGCGAAAGGGTGCACCCCGAATAAACAATGAGCGCTTGGTGTGCTGCATTCGCTCTCCGTTTCGATGAAAACCTACTTGGCTTCGGGTATTTACTGTAAAAAACGCCATAAATTATCGTACAGATTTACGTTGGTCCAAAACGGGGCATGGCTAGTGACGTCCTCAAGTGTAGCCAGTGAGTGTGCTCTGTGAGATAGTTATTGTTTTGTATGATTTAATGAATACTTTTAAATTTACCAGAAGTAAAGTTCCCCTCTTTTGGTTGTGTTAACGAAGAGTTCCTTACTATTCACAGCCGTGAAGTGAAGTATATGCACGTTAGTTGTACTGTAGACAAGAAGTAATGCCAAAGATTAAAGACGTTTAGTAAATATTCATACATAAGCGTATACATGAACATATTTTGGTCAAACTGTCATGTCAA